ATTTGTTACTACCCATCTCTAAATTCACGCGATATAAACGAACTTCGTTTTTCGTTCAAGGACGACTCAGCTGAGTTTTGTTTATAAATACGGACCTAAGTCAACAGATCTTTTAAAATTCGTTTTTAATATTTTAAAATTTTAATTTTCAATAATTTGATATAATTTTAATAATTCTTAAGGTAATTTTCAGTTGTCATGTCATTTCGTACCAACTGCTTTTTCTTTACCCTCTCTCAAAACATTCATAGATATGGAGGAGGGGAGATAGGAACTGTCATTTCAGAAAACGTTTACACAAGGAGAACCTGCCCAGGGAGCGGAGAGTAATTCCAGGATTGTACTCAGTTTTTTTACTAATTCAATAAAAATATACATATAATTAAATGCAAATTACTAATACTTTTTTAATAAGAGGAATAAATAATTAAACCAGATTGTGTATTAGTTAAGATAATTTAAGTATAGCTAGTGCGGCGAGGAACGGCTAATTATTTGCGTTGTCGTTAAGGGGCAACTATACGAGTACATAAATTTATATTATTCTCTTTAGATCATCTTACGATGACAAGAGACAGGTTACAAAATTAGTTTTATATTAATAATAGCTAACTAAATTTCATAAGGTCAGTTGAATACAACATAGGCATTTAAAAAAACATTCATCATAGCACAGATAAATTAAATACAATGCTCACATATAGATACGTAAAAATATATTGAAATATTAAAAATTATTTATATATTCATCTAACGAGTAGTCTTCAATTAAAAGACCCTTCAGGTAAACAGTGAAAAGTCTGTTTCCCAACTCCTTTCTAACATTTCAGAAAACTTTTACTGGAAATTGACCGACATGCTTCTGTAATTTTCCTTTTAAGATCATCAATATCAGCAGGTTGTGTTTCATAAACAACGGATTTAAGGTGTCCCCAAAGAAAAAAGTCTAAGGGAGTTAAATCAGGTAATCTTGGGGGCCATTCAATTGCTCCCCTTCTGCTTATCCAAGGGCCTGGAAATCTCTGTCAGACGAGAAGAAAAAATGAGGTATAGCGGCGTCCTGCTGGAAATGTAACATCCTCCTGTATAACTAAATTACCTTCTGCATCAGTTTATTTCTAGCTCGTCAGTTTATAAGAGGATCAATAATCTCTTCAAGCATATCAAGGGACAGATCGCCTGGCAAGTTTCCTTCATTAAATAAAGAACCAATAAATGCGTATGCCCTTCTTGAATAATATGCGGGTCTTCGTCACTGCAGTACCAACATTTGTGTTTGTTAACATTGTCATTTAGAAAAAAATGAAGATTTATCACTGAAACAGATATTCTGCAGAAGATTAGGGTTGGCGTTGACTTCATCAGGCATGGTTTTACAAAACTCTATTCTTTTATTAAAATCATCTTCGTAGAGCTCTTGAAGTATCTGCATTTTATAGGAATGAAATTTATGCATTTTCAGTGCTCTTCTTACAGTCTCGCGGGATATTCCCATCTGTTCTGCTACTATTCGTATGGAGCTAGTTGGCACGGCAACAAATGTTCCCAAAACCTCAATTAGAGTTTCTTCATTTAGTACTCGTCGGTTATGTCTTTTCCTATTTTACATCGAACCAGTTTCCAAAAACTTTGCTACCAAATCTAGAATATACCTATGACTTACATTACGATTAGGATGCCTTTTATTTAAATGCTGCCCTTCGTGCGCATTTTACAACCTCTTCCTAAAGGATAATTATTTCGATTCTTTCCTGTAGAGATTAAACCAATTTTGCTATAGAATTACAACCATTGTTATCTCCTGACCACAAATGAATACCAGATGCTTACCGACTCCACTATCGACTCGAATATTGTAAACAACGAGTGAAATATTTATTAAATTATTATACTTAAACTTAAGCTGTCACTTGACGCTGTCAACTAAATGTCTTAGGTTGCCAAACTTAAAGGTTATGAACCACAATGTTTAATATCCACATATGATACACGTGTAAAAGTCGCTAAATAAAACTATTACGTTATTGTAATAAATAAGAAACCACAATAATTATTGTTTATTTAATTATCAAACCGACCGCCAATGTTCTCGCTCGATACGTACGACCACCACCTGTATAATTATTTAGTCACAGTGCGCATCCAAATTTGAAATCAGCCAAACAGGATCAGGCAAAAGTGGCATGAGAGAGTGAGCGAGACATGCAACATTGGGGAAAGAGCTTAGAGTGACCCTTCTTGTCATATTTTTTTTCGATGCTTACACTTAATTTTCGAAATGATATTTCTAAAACAGTCCATCGTCTAACGTGTGTCTTTTTGTCCAACTATTGCAGCAACGTTGGCATCGGTGCGGTATCTACCTGTCTTTTTTTTTTTTTTTTCATTAATTTCATTAATATATCAGTGATGAACTAAAGTTGCTGCAATCGATGCAACACCATTCCATCAGTTTAATATATTGTTAGATCCACTGTTCTCAATATTAATTTTTGTTGAATTATTTCAATTTTGATTATTAATTCTTGTATAATTATTCCAATAAAAAAAAGATGACTATTCATTTATTAAACTCTGAATGTCTCTAGCCGCTAACGATCGTATGGGGATCAGTCAGTCTTGATACGATCACCGAAACGCTCGGATTGTATTTGCCGCTGGTTACAATTAGAGTTTTAGTGTTTGTTTTTGTTTTTTATTTCTAACAATATAGTTTTTTCCGATTAGATGTGACAACTGACAGCTGGATTGCGGGAATTAATCAGAATTAAGGAGTTAATTATTTAATTAATTAATTGTTTTATTGTGGGAAAAACCGAAAAAATTACCTTTTAAAAATTTATTCGTACATTTAAATAAAATTATGAACACAAATTTTAATCCAAAATGTCAACTGTTACTTATTTCAACGGTCAACCATAAATAAATCGAATCCAACACAAGGCGTTCAAGGCCGCATCGGTGAAACAACGATTCCAACAAACCGGTGGAAAAAAGACGCACGTATAACGGTGCCATCCTTGATTCAATTTTATAACTGAGTTTTGTATTTCCTAGGAATGTAAATGGGTGTCCTAGGTTGTTGGTTACTGGGAAAGCTAAAAATTGAACCATTCAGATTTTTAGGACCTAAAATTTTGGTTTTTATTATCCAGGGCTCCTGGATGAGTGCTATTGTATCTTGCAGCTCATCAAGGCGGCGGCATAATGTTGCCGTAGCCACCCATTTGTGCTGCAAATTACATTGTATAATCGTTACCTCTTTTATTACTTCCCGATCCTCCATTGAAAATTGGGCAGCAATGTGGTTATTTATTCGACCATCCCTTTCTCTGAAAGCGGGGAGGAAGTGGTCTCTTGTGGCTCTTCAGAGTTTTCTTGCTGGAGTTCATCGATTGCCATTTTTTCTGGCTCGACGTCCTCCACTGTTGGCTTAAATTGGGGGGGAAGAGGGTCCTTTATTAAGCAGTCTTTACTGGGCCCCGCTTCAGCCTCTTTTTCGACTTTTTGCCTTATAATCAATGAGGTGAACGCATAGCTCATCCTCATTGACTTGGCCTTTAGGGTTCCCAGGTCTTCGTCTCCGATGCCGAAGACGAAAAGATGGCCCTTAGGGTCTTTTTTGATTTCATGGTGTAAGGTGCATCATTTCGCCACATGCAAGTTTTGGTTTTGCCCCTCAAGTCGCCTGAGCACAATCTCTTTCTCGTCAAGATCAGCTTGCGCTTCCCCTGGGATCCACAGAGAGGCTTTGGTGAGCTTGGGGAGTTCGTCCATCCTTACAATAGCGATTGTTGCTCCTTCCCATGTTTTCAAGGTTGGTACCTTGGTTTTTAGCCATTTCAACGTCAGGTCATCGTCGCAGGTTACTTTGATGATTTCACCAGAGTGCGACCAAGACCTGAATGTGGGTGGCTTGGTTTTGCTGCAGGAGGCGGACAAGATTGTTTTGTCCAGCTCTCCCATCATTATATTTTCGGTAGTTATCTTACCGTAAGGTTTATGATTGTCTATTATAGCTACTTTCAGGCGGCTCGTAGCTGCATCCTTGTAGCTCTTATCCCAGACAGAACTTTGTGGGCCTGTCTGGGTTTTTCCCCTTCCGGGGCGTTACCTCGGAAGAGGTGTGAGATCGCGGCCTTTTCTTGTTCCTAGTTGTGTCGTATTCCTGGCCTTTTGTAGAGGCAGAACTAGCGTCGCTGTCTAGGGACTTGATTAGGCCGCTTTTGTTTGGTTTAGAGTGAGGGAGTTTGCTAAGGGTGGCGGTTGCCATACCACTGCCTGCAGCTTATCCTTCTTCCTCCTTTTGCTTTAGACCCAGAGATTCTTTTGCCTCTCCGGTATGTTAGTTGGAGGTGAACTGCTGTGTCCATCCCCTTTTATTGATGGTGGGCGTCGCTGTCCAGCCTCCTGTGCGGGAGCTGAACTTTGTTGTCCAGGCTCCTTTGCAGAAGGTGAACGTTGACGTCCATCCTGTTTCTTTTGAGGTGATCGTCGCTGTCCAGGATCCTGCGCCGGAGTTGGACTTTGGTGTCCAGTCTCCTTTGCTGGAGGTGAGCTTTGACATCCAGCCTCTTTGGCTTGTTTCTAAGTTCTTGAATCCATATGATTCCCATGAGTAATTAGGGAAGGAAAGGTCGACCGACGCAGAACCCCGCATGCGCGGGCCAGGCTAGATACAAGAGGGTGTCGCCAGGTTCCCTCAGGGGAGCGTTTGCTGCCGCATCTGCCCCTGCGACAATTTATCCGTCGGCACGTTACCTTACACCTTAGATTGGGGGAGTTGGTTCACGGCGGTAGCCTTCGCTAACCAGGGAAAACCTGGCCGTTCTCCTATCCACCACCCGGTGACGCGTTCGCTTAGCACTCAACCGCTGAGTGAGTAGGTATATGCGGGAAATTTGAATATGTATCAAGTCTCTCATTATATGAATCTTCCCTATTCTTCCACAAATTAAAAAATTACCTTTAAACTGAAATGCTTTCTTTTTAAATTTTAGTGGTTGTTTAACTTGCTATTGGGATACAGAAGTGCGGTCTTTAAATGATATGAAACCGGCATATTACGTTATTCCTAACAAAGGAGAATTATTGGCATTCGAACAAGGTATAATGAACATATATTTTATGCCTGAGAAAAAAGGATTTTGTAGTGCAGAAGTTGTAGTGCAAGTCCAAGGAACTCCTCGTCAGGTAATAGTATGATTCTGTTTAAATTTGACTATTTTCAAAATTAAATAGCCATTTATGTCTTATTTAATGTAACGAGTAAATATTTGCCAACCAGAGCGAGGTCTTGCAACATAAACGAGTTAAGAGTTACATAAAACGGCATTTCGTAACGTGTTACATACAATATTTTTTTCTAATTTTGACTAATTATAAAATTGTGTTTTGGTAAGAAATTACTAACATCTAGGCAACAAATATTACTTTCTTGTATTCTTAGTTGCATATGTATCATTTTATTGACAGAACATAATATTAATTATTTATTCTCAACGACTTTATATGGCTTATTAAAGTTATTTAGTTTTTAAAACAGTGGGTTTTTTTGTAGTGTATAATGTTTTCTGATTTATAATGGAAAATAAGGACCACAACAACATTACTATACTAAGTTGTTAGTTTAACCAAATTTTATTTTTATAAGTCAACCTATCCTTCTTTGTTATAAACTTTCATTAATAATATTACATATTGATTTTAAAACCAAAAAAGGATTATTTTTATTTGTTTCCTTTTCGCACCTGGTGATATAATGAATTTTTCAAAATCAGTTTCATAATGTTTAACATTATGCAACTGGTTTCGTAAAGTAGATCATTTTAACACTTCCTGCGACTACAAAAAATTTTACTTTATATATCAAAATTAGAACACTTTTAAAATGAGGTTTATAATTTATAGGTTTCTCTTTTGTTACTTAGGTAAAAATGAAACTATGTGGCGATGGTGTTCAGCCAACGTTGGTATTTAAAGACGCCAATGTAAAATTTTTCCCTTGCATTCCATATACAACGGACACAGTTGAATTACTTGTACAAAACGTTTCTACCTTTCCAATAGAATTTTGTTTTTCCGATTTTGAACAGTAAGTATATTAGTTAGTCGCGTTGGATATATTCTTAGTATATACTTTTTAGAAATATGCCAGTATTGAGAATGTAATAAACGACTTAACAAACTACTGCAAAGTATGTCTTTCATATGATATTTACTTTGCGCTAACTCTACTAACTCTACGCATGACGTCATCGCCGCCATGACACAATGCGCGATATCTCTCCTTGGGAGATACCACCACTACATCCGACTCATTACTATTTCAAAATGAAAAAAAAAATGTCCTACTAGCACCTTGATAAATACAAGTAGACAATTGACATGAAATTGAATCTACAAATGCCCATTTGAATTTCGGCAAATATGGAAATATTTTAACCTACGAGGATACTCGCAATTGTTTAAAAACGGGAATTCCTGGAAAACACAAATACGGGGGATCGACATATTCTCAGGCGGGAATTTATTGAAATATTCATTTTTAAAATTAATTAAAAATAAAATTTAGTGACTTCGTCACAGTACATCGGCGGATCCATCATTTTCTAGATAGGTACATCACCAGAATCGTCTCTAGGTGCTTTGACATCATTCTAGTATATTTAAGATGTATAACTCATATCGACAAATGGGGGCATCAGAAGGTTTTCGGAGGTTGACATATTCTATCGAATATTTTTGATAGCGATAAAATCGCGGCCGTAAAAGGCTCATGATGAAATGCAGGAGAACCGGTTATACTTTGAATATACGGAACAGGCCTATATTATTTTTTAACAGTAAGGCAATATGTAGATACTGTTTTTCTTGGACATTGAATAGGACACACGGATCCTTTCGAATGGCCAGTTCGCTCTACAAACTTGTCGCCGCTTTCTTTTTATGGGGGCATTTGAAGTTTGTGTTTTACAGGCACATACTTTGATTTTCTTTTACTATACGAAGAATGTTCGCACTGCGCATCTTTCTGAGTGCCTTTTAAAAGGAGATAGAAAACTCCGCCATTTTGAACTCTTATTACGTGTTGCCTACATCTTGGCGCAATATTTTTAATAGGTGCGTTTTAATCATCCGCTTCTGCTTCGGAATTGTCGGTTTTCTTGTTTTAATCTGACAGGTTAAAACGACTAAACCGACAATTCCGGAAGCAGAAGCGGGTGATTAAAACGCACCTGATATTTTGCTTACTGCTGTCAGTGTCAGTGAATATTATTTTTGAAGTCACAGTTTATTGATAAAGAATCAGTTAGCTCACTCGGACCAGTTGAAATTTCCAAAATAACATCCACTCCAGGGATACAAATTCAGGATACGCAGAAGACTGCTGTTTTATTATAGGCGGTTATCATATATTGTATTATCCGAGTTGCGCAGTGTATAAACTGGAACATTGAGATCAAAAGTGCAGACGCAGAGTGAGCGATCTGATTTTTTAGCTATAAACTGTGGCATAGGAATCAAAATGGCCGCGCCCTTTGTTGGGCGTGTCGAACCTCTCTCTTGCATCGTATAGTAATCAAAGTATGTGTTTAGAGGACAAACCCACAATCCATTGATGATTTCCCTTTTTAAAAATGTTCATTATTGTTTAAATAATGTTTGTAAACGGTGAACATTTTGAACAATTGATTTATTTCCTTCTCCAATTAAATATTTAAATAAAATAGTTGCTATAATTTTATATTTTACAGGTGTTATGACGAAGAAAAGATGCTAGTCGAATTATTTTTAAATTATTACAACTTGAAAACAATTTTAATTCCCGAAAGAGAATTAGGAGGAGGTATACCTGAAATTTTCCTATCGACTTATCAAATGCTTGAAAGTGACTTAAAAAAAATATATAGAAACCTCGAATGTGAAGATGGTTCAGAAACAGATATATTAGCTGGATACACTAAAGACAAGATTGTTGACTTAATTAATAGTAAGAAATTTAAACTTCTAATATAAACAAATTGTATTTTGATTTTTTTATAGCAATAATTAAAACTAATGGAAAATATTGAATTCCTTTGTGCATAATAAACATCTTGAATAAAAAAGCTATAAACCGGTGGCGGCTTGTCCTGAGGGGCTAAAGGGCCGTTGCACTAGCGCAAAATCTCTGTAATTATTATAGACCGTCAAACAGTGACAGGTTTAGATGCCCCATTTTCGCATACAAGCCTCTAAGAGGGTTGAAAAGTACATCGATTTTAAGTAGAATGAAATTTACCAGTGGCTACTGGGTATAACACATGGAAAATTCAATTTTCCCCAACAAAAATAAAAGGTTATTTGTTGCCCATATTTCCACGCAAGCCGTTTTTACTATATGATTAATTAATAGAACTCTACCAAAGACTCTAATGTTGCAAGTGGCTAAAGGGTTGAAATAAGAACGTAATCTTCTAAGGAAAAAATCGAGATTTTATCAGATTTTTCACACAAGCCCATCGAATGTATGAAAACGTACATCGTCACTAGTCCGAAAAATATATTTTCTTGAATGACCTGAATTTATAAGTTCATTTTGGGGTCGGAAAATTTTTCTGACAAGAAAAATCGAATTTTCCATGCTTTATCCCCAAGAGGCCCTCATTATTTTTCTTTTATTCTACTCAACATCGATATACTTTTCAACCCTCTTCAAGGCTTGTTTGCGAAAATGGGGCACCTAAATCGGTCACTATCTGACGGTCTATTACAATTGTCGGATCAAATGGATAAATGATGCATATTATAAATGGCTTGACCTATAGTGAGAATAGACCTAAATATTTGTAAAAGATGCAACAACAAAGAAAAAAAAATTAATGGAGAATAGCGACACTGAAGAAAGCAATTTTGACGAAAAAGATCTATGCAATGACGATGAATTGTACATGAGCGACAATGTACCTAAATCTGACATTATGCATAATATAAAATCGAAACATGGTTTGAAAGTAAACATTGTGGACGTTGGGTTTATAAAAGTTGCAGTGGTGCCAAAAGCCCTGAAAATTACGTTTTCGATTTTTGTTCCTTATGCATAATTAATAATTGTAATGTTCTGTTTATCTTAATATATTTTAGTTATTCATCATTCTATTAAACAGTTTTCACAATAAATATAAATAGTTTCTTCTAAAATTACTTATTTTATAACTTCCATACATGCGTCATCTTAGCCACTACCGTGCGTCACAAATCGGTATTTTAAGAGTTTAATGTCTTTTATCTAATTTAGATAAAAAATCTAACAAATGGTTGCAGAAAGGTACTAGTTAAGGAACCATGACACTCACAGTAGGTACCTGAATTTATTTTTGCCCATAATTAAAGGGTAATCTGCATAGGTCCGTTATTTTCGACCATTTCCCGCTAATACCCAGCTGTTAAACATCCATCAATTTGTCAGCATTTTCCACGCTTCCACGCTTATCGATGCCCAAACATTGACGGAAAAATGCCCACTATAATTAGTAGTACCCAACCATTTCTCTTTGAATCCTGAATTTCTAGGACGATAAATCTTTTCGCTGTTAGAAGATTGAAAGTTTTCATCGGAGGATACAAAGTTGTTCCAAAATTTCTGCTTGTGAACTAAAAATTCATTTGCAAACCGGACTCCTCTCCTGTGCTTATTTTCTGCAGTTCGAAACACTTGGCAGAGAGCAGAGCAGTTTTTTAGATCAGGAGTTCCAAAAGGATTTCGACGGACTTATTCTACATATTCTTCATTTTTATTAGAGACTCTCCCTAAACTTTGTCTTTTTAGTCTTTGGAATCTTTGTTTTTCTTGAAAGCGTTTCTTAACTTTAAATATGCAACTATTACTGATATTTAATTCAACAGCCACTTTATTTAAAAACCAATTTTCTTCCAATTTTGCTATAGCCCTTGACTTTTGAGCCAGTTAAATATTGCGGCATTTTTTAAAATTTATTTGACAATAATTTTTAAGAGCTGTTGAATTTCAATGCTGCTGAATACTATGATGTAATGTCTAAATCACACCATTAAGTTTTGGCGTTCACATTTCGGTTTCTTTAGCTGTACATTATTTATTTTTTCACCGATTAATTATACTACAAATCCTGTTCTTACTAATGTTTTGTTTAAATATTTTTACTCCATTTTAACAGAAAATTATTTATCGTAGAATATTTATATGCTATTGTATTGGAAGAAGCTACACACGAAAAACAAGAGAATACGACTGATATTTATCCGGTGGAAAATAAAGGTATTGAAGGGTTAGCAATTATAGATCCTGTCATTCCAATTGATGGGCTACCGGAAAAGAAAGGAGTGGTTGTGATTTTTCATGGAGCCCCTAAGACAGGTTTGCAAAAAATCAACAATTGGTTTTTTTTTAACAAAACAGACAACATCAACAGTAACAAGAAAATACGTGAGTTTAATCATTAATGTAATTTTAGAATACGTTCGAGCTGCACTTAGCGCAGCAAAATTTTTGTCATTGGAGCCCTACAGTATCGATAAATTAATCTACGAGGAACTAATAAACGGCAAATCAAATTCTGCTGAAATAATAAACAATTTGATAGAAGAAGCTTTAAATGATTACGAAGACGTATTTTTAGAAAGTGAGCAAGATGGTAAGTATGTCTTTACGAGTATATACAGGATACCAATAAGGGGTACTAGTAAATATTTCCAGACTAAAAAAATAAAGTAGTCATAGAGATAGATACTATTGTATAAGCAGTATTGTTTCCAATAAAGTACAAAAATATGGGTCAGCTACGATTTTAGTTGTTCGCAAAAAGCAATGTTTGGACTTAATATATCAAAAATGGCAGATTAACGAAATAGTTCATAAAATCTGCTTAATAATTAATTTTTTTCATATTTAAAAGCAATTTATTTATAAAGCTATCCATCCAAAATATTCGGCCTAGGAGTTTTTCTTGGTACATCTCATCCTCCCTCTTATCTCATTGGTGTTTAAAAACAATTATTTTTTTTAAGATGATATCGGATTTACGACTCGGTATGTAGGAAGAATATCTTAAGAATCAATTTTATTTAAATAAAAACTGGTTTAATGATACACATGCTTCAGCCAAAGGTAAAAACTGGTAATGACACACAGGCTTCAGCCAAAGGTGCACTGTTTTTAAATTTTCAATATTTTTTTGGTTAGGTTTTCAATATTCATGATAAAGGAAGAATTCAGTTTTTTTTTCGGAAGCATTTTAAATGTAATTAACTTTTTGCATCCTAGAAAATGTCTTCGTAAGAGAAGAGGAGGCTCTTGTGCTAACGCAAGAACCGCTGGTGTAGGAGAAGCATGACACGTTTTTCGCAGTTTAAGGTGCTATTTCTCTGCGCCAGCAGATATACACCAAATTGTTGATTATTTGTGTATTTATTAAAACCGTCGATACACATCATCTTTCTCGATTCTCGTCAGTCGTCGGTTCTCCATTCTCCATATTCTCTTCTCATTCCTCTTTTAACTTACAAACTCAACGTCAACAATAGTGAACAGACGTGGTTGCGGTCGCTGGTCGCCATTTTCGGTTTTCTTTAGCGTATTTTCTTTAGTTTGTTCTTATTTAAAGTTTGTTGCGTTTGCTGCTATAGCTATATAAAACACGAAAAAATAACTATTAATTAATTTAAAGCCGTCTTAAATCGTCCGTATAATAGTGAGTGTACCATATTACTAAGTGATTTACAAGAATGTTTCATGTTGTGGAGTTTGCGGAAGATGCGATTTTTAATAAATACATGTTTTAGAAGTGTTTTATCACTACTTTAGAATTGTTGTTTGTAGTAGACATTTTTGCAGTCACCATATTTTCGATTTACTTATATTCAATTAGGATTAAAAATTGTCATTTTTACGATTTTATTCAAATGGAAATGAACATAGTTAAAGATTAGTAATCATGTTTTTGACACCTATAAATATTACATCTAATTTTTTGAAAATTTACAGTATTTTTAGGTTATTTGCAGAAAGCTTGATTGTTGTTAACCATTGGTTAAATTGTAATTGACGTCAAGACTAGTGATATTTCACGTTTTATCACCATTACTGCTCTTACCTTCAATTAAAATTTAATAAACGATAAATTTTAATTAAGTTTACTGCAACTGGTCATAAATATGTAAAATTAATTTTACAGAAAATATATTCGACGTCATTAAAACGTCAGACTAACTTCTTGTAAGACGTACTTTTGACATCAACTGAAAACGTCAATTTGACGTCATAATATGACGTCATTCGTCTGTGACTTAGAAGGGCATAATAACGTCATTCGGACGTCATTTTGGAAGTAATCCTGACGTCAGTGATGACCAAATTATGACGTACAAATATAGTCAGCTGGTTTCCTGGGTAATGCAGCAAGGAAATTTCTTAATGCCTATAACAACCCTTCCAGTCCTATATTCTCAAGGAAGTGTAGGATTTGGAGTGGCTTCAAGTTAGGTAAATCTCCCTCTTCTATTTGATATGCTCCTAGGTATAGTGTCCTTAGTTTCTGGAGTGCTACACATTCTGTGAATGTGAATGGAGGTTTCGTCCTCCTTCTCCTCACAGAATCTGCACTCAGACTGCAATCTCGTTACCCTGTACCCCGTTATGTCCCGGGACCCAAGTGAGAATTTTAGGGCCATGCAGAAGGTTAAAGTGATCTCTGATATATACTTTCCTGTTTCTAAATAACTCAATAATATTGGTAGAGGCTTCTATATCAAAACCGTAATAGGAGAGTTTTGTTTGTAAGATGTTGAAATCAATTGCGTCATATGCCCCTTTTAGATCTAAAAAAGTATATGCTGTGTATTCATTTTTTGAGAATGAACACTGAATAGCATTAACTGAGTACAGGCGTCTAAAGTACCTTTAGACTTAGGAATCCGTATTGAGAACTAGGTAACAGAGGGTTATGTTTAAAATACAATTCTAAATGACGTTTAATAATTCTCTCAAAAATTTTAGCAAAACAAGATAACAGAGAAATTGGGCGGTTTAAGAATTAATATAATTACCACGTCCTTAAAAGATTCAGGAAGAATTCCTTGTAACCACCATTGATTTTAAATTTCAACTAAGATACTTTTTGAATTGTCTGGTAAATTTCTAATCAAAGAATAAGATAAGCTATCTTTTCCAGGAGCTGTGTGACAAGCGGTTTTAATTGCTAATTCTAGTTCAGTTAAAGTTATTTTTGAATAAAGGTTATTTTTATTTCCCAATTCCCTATTGTTTACTAGCTGAGGAATAAAACCTAGATCAACAAATGGAGGAACAATATGGTCAAATAATTTTTCTATTAGATCTAGAGCCAGAACAGTTTTTTTATTATATTTATTTTTGTTTGAAATACTTTTAATATATCTCTATACTGAAGATATTGGAGTATTTTTGTTTAGATTTCCAGCTGCTCTATGCTTTTCGTTTAAATATCAGCTTAATTTTGGCTTACATATTTTAATAAAAAATTGTCAAAATTCAATGTGTGACTATAGTTGCATAAAGCTATCTTTCTTGTCTTAACTAAATCAGAACACTCAGAGTCCCACCATGCTGGAAGAAACCTTGAAGGAGTAAAAGGATTGTTTCTGGGCATAGATAAATTGCAGCTGCCTTACAGCTTTAATGAAATTTGGGAATGAGGTGGATTCAGTTGATGAAAAGATAAAAATATTGTCTAAATATAATTTGATGGAAACCCAGTTAGCCTTTTTTTCGTTCCAAATATTTGAAGGAAACACCGTTTGTTTATTGAGATTATTTGTAATAGTTATTAAGATAGGAAGAAGATCAGATCCCATAGTATCAGAAATAGTTTTTCATTTCAATTTAGGTGCTAATATTGGCGAGGATAAAGCAAGGTCTAAAGCGGAAGGAGGCGTATTCGGATTTATTTAAAAAACATCAGAAAATGTAAAAGTATAGTCCAAATTAGTTTTTGGACAGTGACACAAAATTTAGAGAGGATGAAAGTGTTGTACATCACTGGTAAAGTTTATTTAATTTAGTAAAATTATACTAAGAAACAAAAAAGTTATAGCTATCAATAATTCTTAAATTTTCAATTTTAACACCCTGTATTTCAGAAACCAGTAATATTTTATCAAATAATATTTCTTTTAATCGTCTTATTTTTAATCAGAGAATCTTCAGTTGTATTTTATCCCTTTCTTAATGATTATTTCATCGAAGATTATTTCCAAATTCAACTATATAATAAGAAAAAATTAATATAAAAATTTTAGCTTAAAAAAGTTAGTAGGAGTAAATTATTATTTCCATGTTTTTTGTTTCTTATGGACCTCAAGTAGGCAGCTCTTCGGGTGAGCTGTTAGAAGGATTCAAAAGTAAGGAGTGCAGAATTAATATTTTCAAAAATATATTGTTTTACTGGTTTTTGGTATCACAATTTATTCAATTCAAATTTACAATAACTCAATTCAATTGATACAATAACGATACAACTGATAACATTAACATGTAACGTCTATCATAAAACTGAAAACTGACGTCAGGATATACTACACTCTTTAGTAATTCTTGTTTTTTCTATGAAACTTATGTCATGTGCTACACTTGTATATAGTTTGTTCATGCTTACTAAACACTTTGCAAAATAAATAATACAGCGTATTCAAAAAATTAGGAATATCAGTTTCTGAAATATGGTGCATTTTAAATGTATTACCATAGTTAAAATATGATTTCTGACCATTTTTTTGTTTAATTTCTTATTAGATAGTTTTTATAAGTAATACAAGGTGTGATAGAACTACATAATCAAATAAGAATTACAAAAATGCATTTAACGAAAAATTGGTATGCTGACGGATTTCTAACAGTTGAATCCCCCACAAATATTAAGTACGGCCCGAAGGCACGCTTACCAAAATGGACTGTCTCCTGTCGGTGCTAGCTGCAACCATCTCCATGTGGACAATGAAAATTCAACATGTTGTAAAACAATTTATTGTGCACAAACGCTGCACGACAAAACTTTGTACATATTTACATTCCTTCACTTAACTATTGCTTACATATTTAATTGCACTAGGACCCCAGCAAACCATTCTGTTACATGTTCCCTCCTGTTACATAACTAAGAAGGATAAAATATACTTAGACTGTCTTGTATGCACTTTTATGTGTTATTTATGGAACCGAACACCTAAGTTCAAACTTAGCACCATAGTAATATACCATGTATATAATTAAAATATATGTTACAAAATTACATATCCGTTATATAAATTTCCTCACATAAATATTATATCAATTTATATATCTATGTGTAATCTACATTAAAGTAACAATTTGTACTAAATTATTTCGTACAAAATGTTACATAGCGTATATATACATAAATGCTGTTGACCAAAAGGTTCTTGAAATACGCATGTTTTTTAGGTAGGTATATCTGGTGTATTATTTTTAGTACCGTTTCAATGTTCAATGGCGGCTATAGGCGTTTTATGGAGGTACCTGTGGCATTTTTGGATTTTTGTGAACAATAGCAGGTATGTTGTGTTTTTATAATGGAATTGAGTTATTATATATGTATGTGCTGTATTTTGATGATACATTTGAGGTGTAAATATTAATTTT